AACACAAAGACAAAGACAAAGACAAAGACAAAGAAAAATACAAATACAAATACACACACATTCTATATATATACATATATAAATGTATATATATATTATATATATATATATATATATATATATAAACTAAGGTGAAAGAATAAGATGTAAAAACACATACATATATTAAAGTTCGTCTCACCTGTACAGGAGCTCTTGTCATCATCTCGCCATGTCCACGGGGGAATATACGCGACTGTACCAGCATCTCCAATACACTTGTCTTTCCAGCACTCTGATCCCCCACCACAATCACCCGAGGTAGACTGTCCTGTGGTTTGATTGGTACATATAGACGACTGGTGTTAGCCACATGAAGTATTAAAAAAGGTGTTTACTAGAGTATATTGTATAAGATGAACAAAGGCAGAAAAAAAAGGTCATGAATATATACCTCAAACTCAAAATCGACGCAAGTCCGACATATCCGAATACATCTGAATGACCGATCGCTCGCTGCGTGAATTATGCGCCAGATTGCCCCTGCGAAACAGCCATGTAATCCCAGACACACTCATGGGCATGCGTACACACAAATATAAAACTTGACACATATACACCATATTACAAACACACACCTCGATATCGAAATCCTTGTTGTACTTCGAAAGTAAGTCCAGCATATCCGAGTACATCTCAATGGCCGAACGCCGGCTGCGTGCACTGTACGCCACATTACCGCCGTCGAACATACTATGCAGCTCCAGGTAGGACTTTCGCAACTCCTCGTTCTCCAGTAGCAGCCGTTCAATCTCCTTCTGCAAGCGCGTGCGTTCTTCTATAAGCTCCCCTTGGTGGCGTGTATAGGCTTCGTCCAGTTGAACCTGAAATGGGTGCCCATGATTGGGGTGAATGTGGATGAGGATATTGCATGTGTACATATGAATGTATATGGATGTAGATATTTATACATAGGTGATGAAATACACAAACGCGACCATAACGTCAGCGGGTTGCTTACTACTAGCGTGCTTCTTCAAGCTCATTCCGATGCCGGATGAGAGCATCATAGAGCTGATTACAATGGCCTACGTTTGGAGCATATATGTGCAGTACATACATATACATGTATATAACATATTTATACACATTTATATATATATATATATATATATATATACGTAAATATACATATATATATATATGCATAAGTACTAAATTTAAATAATATATACATATAATATATGTATAT